AGCTACAGAGAGCACTGTCTACATCGCCGGTACTCATCTTACCGAACCCAGACAATGACTACGTGGTGGAAGCAGACGCTAGTGACCAAGCATTCGGAGCAGTACTGATGCAGGATCACGGGAACGGTTTGCAGCCAATCGCCTACCTCAGTAAGAAGCTACACGGAGCAGAACTGAACTACCCCATCCATGACAAAGAAGCCTTAGCCATAGTCGTAGCCTTCAAGGCGTGGAGGTGTTACCTAGAGGGAGCCAAGACTACAGTTTATACTGACCACTGCAGTCTCAAATACCTGAAGTCGCAGCTGACGCCCTCACGACGACAGGTGCAGTGGGTGGACATCCTGAAAACTCACTTCCACTACGACATCGTCAACTTGCACGCGTTGAGCCGCCCCGGACATTTAGCAGGCATCCAGCTCGACGAGATGAACCCTTTGCTCAAGGGTCTATTCCAACATGGGTACTCCGTGGACGCAGAGATTGCTACAGCACAGACTAAGAAGCTGTTACGGTGGGAAAAAGACTTAGCTGTAAGGAAGCGTTCAGGAAAGATTTGGGTGCCGAATTACGCCCAGCTACGGCAGATCCTATTGGAGGAGTTTCACGACGTACCTTACGCGGGACATTTCGGGAGTAACAAGACGTTAGCGGGGATAGCGAAGTATTACTACTGGCCCGTGATGGCAGCAGACGTGCAGCAGTTCGTCTCCTCTTGCGACACGTGCCAGCGGATGAAGAGCAGCAAGCAAAAAAAAGCAGGGTTACTTCAGCCTCTACCTGTATTGGAGCAGCCATGGCAGGTCGTTAGCCTTGACTTCATCACATGACTTTCTTCGACCTCACGAGGACGTGATTCCATCCTCGTGGTGATCGATAAGTTCTCCAAAATGGGTCACTTCATACCAACCAACGCCACAGCTACAGCTGAAGCAACTGCTCGCCTCTTCTTCGACCGCATCATCACCATCCACGGCATCCTCGATACACTCATCTCAGACAGAGACCCCAAATTCACGAGTAAGTTCTGGAAGGAGCTCATGGGATTATTGGGGACTAAACTTGCGATGTCCTCAGCATACCACCCACAGACTGACGGACAGACAGAGCGACTCAATTAGGTGGTTGAACAGTTACTGCGCACAGCTTGAAAGGACGACGTCAGCCACTGGGACATACAGTTACCGACCCTAGAGTTTGCTTACAACAACGCGTCATATGCGGCCACAGAGAAAACTCCTTTCTTCCTGTGTTACGAACGGGAACCACTTACCCCACAGCAGCCAACCACACTAGCATACGTCCAAGCCGCACATGACTTCGTCACCACCATGCAGCAGCTATGGGAGAAGACTCAGCGACGACTCAACACGATGCAGACCTCCCAGAAGCAGTATGCCGATCGTCAGCGACGAGATCACTCAGTAGCTGTCGGAGATCAGGTGCTTCTTGACACACGCAACTTGAACGGTTGAATCAAGGGCCTTCTTTTCAAGTGTGCACTGGTCGTGAGGTGCCTATTGCTTCTGATGCTGGCCTGCGGGAGTGGGATGAGCAAGCTGAGCGGGCTGCCGTGGATGTGACGACACCGGACGAGGTGAATGTTGATGTTTGGTGGGAGGAGGTGGAGGAGCTATGGAGTTACGATGTGCATCCAACACAGGGTGCGAGACCGGTGTCTTTGGCGAGCACCCTCGTCAGGTTTTTTATCATAAAAAACGCACCAAAGCGGATTAGGTTTCAGGGCAGTTTCCTGGCACGAGTCGGTCTCGCAGTTCTTCATTGGAATCACGGCATGGATTGTTTGGTGACCGCCTATCGCACGAGAGTCCGACAGGTGACGAGGATAAGACGCGGATCCAAGGAGCGCATTTTGACCCCAATGGATTGGGGTTGGGTTGATCGCATCATGGAGGAATGGCAACGAACACTGCGATTTGGAGATGGTGTAGACGTTGCAGAGACGCCTGACACCTCAGCAACGCCTGCGCAGCTGGTCGAGGCCTCAATCGCATGGCCCACGGCATCTGTACTTGAGCCCGAGAAACCAGTGCGCCAAGGCGAGAGGACCGGTCGGGAGTGCGGCACGTCTCGTGGATCCGCACGTTGTCGATTGGGTAAGCAACGGGGGTGCAACGTGAGTCTTGTTATTGTATCGGTATGGCTCTTACTCATGTCACCAACATTCTATCCAGTGTAAGATGTTCACCAATCCGTGCTTTCTGCTCCATCTTTATGTTGTTTATAGGAAATGTGTCGAACCTCCCACGCTAAGCGTTTGAGGCGAACATCTAGCGAGCTTTCAAACCCGCGCGAGGCTTGCTTGGCATCACACATAACCACAACGGCGCCTACCACAACAATCCACACCTCCAAAGGTGTTTGACTATCACCCCACGCCCTATGCCTCCCCACATCTAAAATTTGTACAACCATAATGCCATGCCATGCTTGGACCCTGCCGTGTCCTGGCCCCCCCATCCCATCCTTGTTTCCTATCACTAAGCATGCCATGCCATGCCCTTCCCTGTCCAGGCACGCACCGCCATTGTCTGCTCGTTCTAAGCATGCAATGCCATCCCAGGACATGATTTGCCGTCCTTGCTGCTTTGCCCTGTCATGCCCTTCCCCGCCCTGCCCTGCCCTGTCTTGCCCCGTTCACAACCTTGTCTGCACCCTAGATGCATTCCATGCCATGCCTAGAGGGGCCATGCCCTGCCCTGCTTTGTCAAGGCCCGCCCCGCCTTGGTTTGCTCCCATGACATGAGTTGCCCTGTCCATGTTGCTCTGCCTTGTCCTGCCCTGCCCTGCCCTGCCCTGCCCTGCCCCGCCCCGCCCTTGTCTGCAACCTCTATGCATTCCATGCCATGCCTAGAGGGGCCATGCCCTGCCCTGCTTTGTCAAGGCCCGCCCCGCCCTGGTTTGCTCCCATGACATGAGTTGCCCTGTCCATGTTGCTCTGCCTTGTCCTGCCCTTCCCTGGCCTGGCCTGTACTGCCCCCCCCCCCCACCCCCCCCCCCGCCCTTGTCTGCAACCTCTATGCATGCCATGCCATGCCTAGAGGGGCCATGCCCTGCCCTGCTTTGTCAAGGCCCGCCCTGCCCTGGTTTACTCCCAGGACATGAGTTGCCCTGTCCATGTTGCTCTGCCTTGTCCTGCCCTTCCCTGCCCTGGCCTGTACTGCCCCGCCCCGCCCTTGTCTGCAACCTCTATGCATGCCATGCCATGCCTAGAGGGGCCATGCCCTGCCCTGCCCTGTCATGGCCCGCCCCACCCTGGTCTGCTCTATCCATACATGCCATGCCATGCCCTGCCCTGCCTTGGGCCTTGCCCTGTCATGCCCCGCCCCGGCCTTGTCCCCCCCACCCCAGGCATGCCCTACCACAACCCTGCCCTGCCATTGTCCGCGGATGAGATTATTCATCGCGACGGGCACACCACCCTAAAATCTGGCTTATCCTCCTTCTCATTGGCGATAATTGCAGGTTACCACTGTGAGAGGGATGTGGCTGAAACCCCATCGGATCAGGTGGAGGATGTGGCAAACACAGTGATAAGAGATGTGGAGGAGTGGAACGACAATAGTGATGAGTGGTGGGTAGAAGGCCGCTATGACGAGGAGGAAGTGTAGGTGTGGGTGGCAGGTCAGGATGAGTGAATGGTTTGTGTTTAAATCCCCACTTTGTTACTGTGGTCTTAAACATGCCATGCTTGAGTGGGTGTAGTGGACTTTGCCGTTCTTTCCTAAACCTATATGTTATAGGATGGAAATAAGTTGGTATCAATCTGCATAGCGACACTTTGAATGGCCGCTTGCGCATATTATAGTTGCAATAGACGATTTAGGCAATTACACGTGCGACCCAGGTTAGCCCTGTGAACTGGCCAGGTCCACCATGCATGCGACAAGTTATACTAATGCCAACCCCAATCGCAATCAATGCTGTCGCTATCTCCGTGGAGTTGTGGTCCTCATGCTTTTGTACACATAAACATAGGAATACCATGCTTCTGTAAGAGATGTTGTCATCTGGACCCACCTCCACGAACACCAGCACAGGCCGTTGCTTACGAGCGCACAGATTTCCTCAGTGGGTTGGGTGGGCTAGGGGAGAGATGATGGTGGGGTGGGAACTGTTTGTTGGAGGAGGACATGGTCGGGGGATGGAAGGGACGAGCGACAGGGTGTAAGACCCCACCTCTCTCAACAGCAGTACTGTGCTGCTGCCCCCCGAACCCACTTAGATCGAGGGACCTGGAGGGAAGGGGGGATGGCAGTGGGTGCGTGTGGAGAAGCGGGGCACAGAAGCAGGTGGTGAGGGGGGGAGTGGGAGAGACGTGGCTGGGTGGATAGGCAAGCAGCAAAAACAAGGGTTTTGCTGGCGAGCGCACTCACATTCCCTGAGGGTGAAGCAGAGGGGTTTGGGAAGGGCGCACTTTAGCTATGCTGAAGATGGCTCTGATCTTCTAAAGAGGCAATTTGCACTCCATCAAACAAGCACATCATTCACAGCATCACAGCATCACACCATCACAGCATCACCCACCGTCATGGTACTTGGTGTTTGCGATGCCCTTCATCACTCTCTAACTGAGCATTTCTTTGCACTTTTCCCAACCACCCGACACCTCAATACACCACGCATCACCACACCACACCGAACCGATTCTTACCTGGATCACAATACTGATGAAATTGAGATGCGGGAGGAGGTGGTGGTTGTGGAGGTGGAAGAGGCGGATGAAGCGGGTGGCTATGAGGGGGGAAGGCGGGTGGTGTGTGGGGGGGACTTCTGAGTCCTTTCTAAAGTCACCTCAGAGATGATGAGCATGCGAGTGAGGCATGGGATGCTGCTTGTCACCACCATGCCACGGCGTGGCTTGCTTTGCTGCCAAAAGAACAGGTGATGCAGCGATGGCGTCATGGGTGCCGCGTCTGCGACACGGACGGCGGGGCGACGGGCCTGACGATTTGGATAAACGCAAACATACCAGCACGCTACTCTCTGATTACTTGAAGTGGGCGTTTGATGATTGCGCTGGTGGCGTAAGATGCTAAACCCATGAGGCCGATAGGTAAGGATGGAGGGAAGAGATGGTACACTAGGAAGTGCAACAGACTCACGCCTCGCACATTGCTGTAGTCCCTCTGCAATAATTCTAGGTCGTGCTCCTGGCAGGTGGGAGGGAAGGAGCAGGAGCAGGAGGGAGTGGAGAGGCAAAGGGTGTGCACGAGAGAGGAGGGGTGCATGGGAGGGAGAGGAGAGGCACATGGGGGAGGGACAGGAGAGATGATAAGATAGTGATACGGGGAGGGGCATATGGGGAAAGCCAATGCTCACCTGGTGTGTGACGCTCACCTCTCTGAGGGTGGGGGCAAGCAGGGTGGAGGGTAAATTTTCAAGCAGGGCGGAGGGTAAATTTCCAAGCAGGGCGGAGGGTAACTTCTCAAGCAGGGCGGAGGGTGGGGGCATGCGGGGAGGAGGGAGGGGGCAAGCAGGGAGGAGGGATGGGGCAAGCAGGGAGGAGGGATGGGGGAAGCAGGGAGGAGGGAGGAGGAAAGCATAGTTGGAGGGAGGGTGGAAGCAGGGAAGAGGGAGGGGGAAAGCAGGGAAGAGGGAGGGGGGAAGCATCGAGGAGGGGGGGGAAGTGGCACCTGAGCCAAAGGAAAGTAGATTGGGGGGTAAACCGAGCTGGTGAGAGAAAGGGTGTGATTCGGTGTTTACGATCTCCACTTTTGTCTCTCCCTCTCTGTCCCTCCCCCTCTGTTTTCCCCCTCCGTCCTTCCCCTTCATTCATGTCGCACCACTGTCCTTCCCCCTGTGTCTTTCCCACTGCGTCAGGCCAAACTGTTCTGTCTCCCCATGTGTCCTTCCCCCTCTGTCTATTCCCTTATGTCCGCCACCTTGTGCCTCCCCCCCTGTGTCTCTCCCCCTCTGTCCTTCCCCCTCTCCCCCTTGTCCTTCAACCTCTGTCCTCTGGAAGGAAGGAGAGAGAGGTTCCTGTGGGAAGGAAGGAGTGCAGAGAGTCCAAAAGGAAGAGGGAGAAATTGAGGGTGAGACGGCCCAATGGAGAGGGCAAAAGGGAAAGTCGTTATTAGGGAAAGGGCTAGATAGATAAATAGGGAGGGGGAGAGGGAAGAGAGGCAAGAGAGCAAGAAAGGGGAGAGGGAGAGAGGGACAGAGGAATAAATGTAGTTAGCAAGGTAGGGATGGACGGAGGGAGAGCGGAAGAGAGGGGAGAGGGAGGGATGGAGGGAGAAAGAGATGGAGGGTGGACGGAGGTTACCGAAGGGAATCGTATATGGGGGGGATGGAGGCGGGTACGGGGAAGCTTGAGCGAAATCAAGAGGTGGGAGCGACGAGGTGAAGCGCGTGCGAAATATAGAGGCGGGGCCGACGGGGAGAAGCTTGGCCGAACTAAAGAGGCGGGGACGACGAGAAGAAGCGATAGCGAAATATAGAGGCGGGGGCGACGAAGATGTGCGCGCGCGGGCGACGAGGAGAAGCTGCCTTGTCGCGACGTGGAAAAGCACTTGCGGACGACGAGGAGACCCACGCGCATGCGACGAAGAGAAGCGCGGGACGGTGGGAAGCATGGGCGACGAATAGTAGATATCGTGACATGAGAAAGTGTGTGCGACGAGCAGAAACCCTGGGGTCGCTTAAACGCGCCCCGCCCGAGGGTAACCCGCACTCGGCATCCTAAAACCGTTGAGTGTGGCAACTCATGCCATTTACGAGCATGGCACGTGGCGCGCGCTACTACGGACGTAAAGGGTATGGCATACGAAACTGGTACGGTAAGCGAGTGTTTGGCATGAAGTTGTGCTGTTACGATATTGGCCAGACAGTGTGAGCGACTAGTGTTGGCCGGAAAAAAACCAACTACCTGAACTAGCTTGTATCGCCCTGCCGCGCGTTTCCTAGTTACGTGAGTGGCCTCGCGGACTAGAGGTACTACTTGGTCTTCAAGATATGTGAGAGGTAATCACGGCAATATTGTGGGCGATGGTCGGATCTCTTATGCGAGTGTGCCTTGAAACCAATCAGGAGTGAGATTCGCCCGAGGTTTTCCCTCGGTCGCGAGTTGTGTTTCAAACCAAAGAGGGGGGGACCCTGTTTTTTGCGACTTCAAGTTCAAGAATCTTGAACTTGAAAAATACCATGCTATACCCGGGCTTTAATATTTTCTTGGCGGCACAACTCATGGACTGCGGAGTTGACCTCAGCACCGACCCCGAGATGCGTGACATCCTGCTTCAGTACACCATGCCGAACAAGCCCCGCAAGCAGATCCGAGAACGGAGTCTACATCCTTGATTTCGACATTCCCGACTGCAGCGGCGATTCGTAGGAGCTCATCGATCTTGTCCCCCTGCGCTTTGAGCCTATCCACCCCATAGATTGGAAGCATCCTGATGGACGACCATGGGTGCCGCATCACTCGCACCCACGCGAGCTGGCGCTATATAACCCTGACCCCAATGGCATCTGCAGAGATTGCCACACGCCCACATCCTTGACAAGTGCGATTGCCGGCCGAGGCCTTGCCGCCATCGCCGAAGCAGAGCGGGAAGCACCGCCTGAAGAAGGGATGTCAACATTGGAACTCGAAATCGCAACACGCGGCGTCTTCGGAACGGGGGAACATCCCCTCCCCGGCCTAGCATCGCAACATCTCCAAGGCATGCTGCGCGGCACCGGCGTTGGTACCTTCGATGCGCACGGTAACCCACGACCCTACACAGAGGAAAATTCTTGGAAGTCTACTCCCACAGGCGTGACTCCACAAAGTAGCTCATCGTGGCGCAAGAAGAGGAATTGGCGCGACACGAAGCGGAAGAGCTTCACCAACGAAGTCTTGCAGAATCACGCGGTACATTTGCTTGGAGTGGATGGGAAGCAGAGGAGAGCGCCTCCAATGAAGGGCGGTGGGGAAGTGCTGGCGGCTGGGGAGCCGCAACTGGCAGTAACACCAGCGGATGGGGCGCCGCATCTGGCAGCAACACCGGTGGCTAGGGCACTTCTGGTGAAGGCTGGGGAGCTTCCCGCGAGGACCAAAGGGGGGAAGAAGAAGAAGAAGAAGAAGCGGAACCTCTTGTTGTTCCTCTTGGTTGCCCTCCGCTCCGCCGTGCACCTGCGCAACCTCCACCTAATATTCCGCCGCACCGCGACCCTTGGGACACCATCGACTGGGGCAACGAGCCCTCTACCCCGCGGCGCACTGTTTTCGAGCCTGACCCTGAGCCACGCGAACCAACCTTCGTCCCTGAAACCATTCCCGGGACCAACATTCCCTACTCCATCATCCTTGACACGGAATTTCTCGCGCTATTGTTGACCACGGCAAATGACGGAGAGGAAGCACCAGAAGAAGCAGCAGCGGAACCTGCCCCAGTACCTGACAAAGATCCCGAAGCAGCACATGCATGGTACGTGCGCATCTCCGATTCCGCGCCGATGATGCTCTCTGGCACCAGCGCCTCGGTCACCCCTCACGTGTTTGCACCCAGAGCGCTCCTGCGCCCAGATGGCACTAAAGTGAGAGGCGGGACACATCCACGCAACTGCACCGTCTGCCATGAAGCTGCGCTGAGTCACCAACCATTCCCGCTGTCGAAATACTAGGCAAGAATCAGAAACAGGAAAGAGAGGTTTTCACTAGCAGCAGTTGAGATACATATAGGAAACCCTAATTGGGTTGTACTTGCTACAGAGTACCCCACTGCAGGCTAGACAAACATCGACATTCTGACACACCCCCATAGTCAAAGTGGGGTACAATCAACACAACAAGCAGGCACTGCAATAGTTCACAAGGATAAGCAAAGCTAGAGGCTATCACAGAGGACAAGTGAGGAGGAGGAGAAACTGTGGAGGCCGTGAAGATGAGAGGCGACGGCTGAAGCTGCAGACACACGAGCAACAGGAGTGCGCAGCACTGACGCTACCAGGCTAAACCCGGGCTACACGGCGACATGCGCAACTGGCTCACTGTGCTCCCAGGAGTGCTCACACTATGGCTACCGGGCGCAGAGCCCCGGACTACACGGCCACAGGGGGTCGTGGCTCTTTGGACTACCAGGAGTGCTCACACTGTGGCTACCGGGCACAGAGCCCCGGACTACACGGCCACAGGGGGTCGTGGCTCTCTGGACTTCAGGCGCTGCGGACGACAAGTCGGCTACCTCCGGTCAACCTCCCCCAACTGTCCCACACCCCTTCCACACACCCCCTGCTGAACCACTAGCACCGCTCACACGCCACCCCCCTCGTACCACTCCGACGGCTCCACCACATCCACCCCCCTCAGCGGCAGCTGCAGCAGTGGGAGACGGAGGAGGAGGAGGAGGAGGAGCAGGGGACGGCTCACACACACGGCACCCCCATACTCTCCACCCCCAAACCCTAACACAGGAGTGCGGTCAGAAGCTCGGGGGACGGAGTGCGGCACTGGGGCAGACGGTACGGGCCGCTCACGCGCAGGCCGGACGAACCGCGCGTGGGCTGCCCGAGCCGCGCGCGGGCCTGGCGCAGCCCGTACGGGCTGCGCGTGGGCCTGGCGCAGGCCGTACGGGCCGCGCACGGGCTGTACAAGCCGCGTGCGGGCCTGGCGCAGGTTGCGCGGGCCGCTACGGGCGACGGGGGGCGACGCGCGGGTCCCCGGGGGAGCTGCGACGGGCGACGGGGGGCGACGCGCGGATCGACGGGGCAGAAGACCGCCGTGCGGCGCGCGCTACGCCGTGCACCCGAGCGCGCGGCAAGCAGAACACGTCGCGCGCCCGGGGCGCGCGATAGGAAGGACAGCACCGGAAGCATTAGGTGGCGGGCCCATCCACAGGATCGACCCAGGAGGGCCGACCTGCTCTGATAGCATGTCGAAATACTACCCAGGAGGGCCGACCTGCTCTGATAGCATGTCGAAATACTAGGCAAGAATCAGAAACAGGAAAGAGAGGTTTTCACTAGCAGTAGTTGAGATACATATAGGAAACCCTAATTGGGTTGTACTTGCTATAGAGTACCCCACTGCAGGCTAGACAAACATCGGCATTCTGACACCCGCTACTCGAACCTGGAACCAATCGCTACCCCAAGCTGCACAAGGTGTACATCGATTTCCTCAACATGGGACATTGCGAAATCAACGACGAGCTGTACACGCTCACCTTCGTCGACACTGGAACACGTTACGTTTAAATCGTGAATGTGGACGTGCGCAGCAGAGCATACGAAGTGTTCCGCCTCTGGCTGGCACACGCGCAGCGGCAATCTGGGGGAAAAGTTGAAAATCAGGCAATCTGACGGCGCAGCGGAATTCAGGAGCAAGGAGTTGCATGATTACGTGGCGCAGAAGGGAATCGAACATCACATCTCCCTTCCCTATGTGCATCAACAGCAAGGCATAGCTGAGCGCACAAACCGTACGCTCATGACGAAGGTGCGGGCGCTAATGAAGCAGTCAAAGCTTCCACCAGTCTACTGGACCTACGCAATGCACCATGCCGTGCGGGTGCACAATCTGCTGTCAACCACCGCCATCACCGACAACCTGTCGCCGCATGTGAAGTGGACGCGGACCAAGGGCAACACGTCTATGCTCCACGTGTGGGGGTGCGTGGTGTAGTACCGCCCACCTACGTCAATTATCGGGAAGTTCGTAAGCCGCGCGCGCTGGGGTATTCACCTCGGCATCAGCCATGAGCACAAGGCATGGCTCGTCCTCGACCTTATGAGCCCGAAAACCACAAACGCGTGCGAAGTCATCTTCTACGAGCGACTCGTCCTCGAGCAATTCCGTGAAGACGAGCGAACCAACGCGAATCGCGTTTACGCCAACGACGGGCACAGCTATGCTACACCTGAGGATGAAACTGCAGCAGCCATTCTGGAGCAGGACACCAGAGGCGAGTTCACAAGAGGTGACCGTAGCAGCAGCGACGACGACGACGATGATTCCCCTGGAGGAGGATCAGGCGCAGCAAGTGGAAGCGGAGGCGGCACAGGCGCAGCACCACCAGCACCTGAACCAGAGAGCGATGATGACGACGTGCAGGACGTTACCTCACAGCATCGCCACGACAGCACCGTCACCGGACTACAACTACTCGGGCTCCACACCGCCACCTCAACGGCGCCACTTGTCATCGAGCCGAAGAATCCGCGTTAAGCTCTCACAGGACCACATAGCAAGGAATGGCGCGAGAAAAAGATGCATGCGGAAATCAAGGCACTCGAATCTCGCGATACCTGGGTGCTCGTCGATCGAGCGGCAATCAAGGGAAGGAGAATTCTTTCCGGAAAATGGGTCTTCCACGTGAAGACCGCAGCTGACGGCACGATTGAACGATTCGAGGCGTGCTGGGTCGCACGCGGATACGATCAGAGGCACGGGATCGACTTCGACCAAACCTTCGCGCCGGTCAGCCGTCACACCTCCGTCAAAATCCTCCTCGCCATCGCCACCGCACGACACCTACCGCTCCGACATATCGATGTAAAGAATGTATTCATGTACGCATTAGTGAACGCGGTGATCTACGTGGAGCAGCCGCACATATACGGCGAAGGGGATTCACGTGTTTGCCAACTACAAAAATCCCTTTACAGGATCAAACAGGCGC